CTAGTACAAAAACAAAATACATGTTTTTGTATTGTTGTAGTGATGCCGATACCTGTTTAGTGTACAAATAAAAATCTATTTAATCAAAAATTTGATAAGCTGCCTGTTAAGCCCATTTGTAAAATTAATGGAGACTAATGCGCCTCACGATAGCATTGCCTGTTCTTCAAGTTGCAAAAAGAATTTACAGAAAGAACTAACTAACTAAGAAGAAACTGTAGCACACTTTCTCTGCCTCCGCCCTAGCAAATATCAGGACTGACTTTCTAGGCAGTCCAATATTGCATGAACTTGCGGCTCTATCTAATAGACATATATAAGATAGAATCGTTTATTCGTGCCTCTGGCTGGTTTAATACCATGTTAATCATGGACATGTCCCATAGGTTGGTTTTCTTTTGCAGGATCCTCTATAGGGTATAACAACGGGACCATTAGGACCCAAGTGAGTCGGTCAAATGGCCGACTGCCTCAATAACCTAACCTAACTAACTAAAAACGTTATATGTATCTAAAAATTTATAAGTTTTTTAATAAGTTGGAGTTTTCATCTTCTTGCATTTAAAATTTATCTTCCAACATAGGTATATGTAGGTATATAAGCAGAATAAATCAGAATTTGCTGTCCGTATCCATAATATTTGCGATAAGTCTTCCATTTGGAGAAAGAATACATACAGTTTTTTCAAGTAAAAAAAAAAACGCAGTCATGAATTCTTTGACAACTTTTTCATACATTTCATACCTTTCATAAATTATTTTTATTTTCGAAGATTTTTTAAACGTTTTTTCTTGGAAACAAAATAATAAAAAATTATTTATTTATTTATTTATTTATTTATTTATAAGTTATCTTAAGATAAGAAATTAGGATAACTTATTATTACTAAGCAATGGCAACTAAGGCCTTCAGCTAGAGGAAATGTAAATACAAATAGTAAATAATTACATATAGATTTCATATAGATTATATAATAGATAATAGATATATATAATAGATTTCTAATATAATGTCTTACTTATAAGTATATACAAAATTAGTAGATTAATAGTGAGTATTGGATATATGGAAAATAGTATGTTTGTGTTTTTATATGTCTTTATAAATATTAGTTGATTTTAAGAAATTAATAATAGTTTTGATGTTGTTAATGGAAGGGTTGGAAAGAAATCGAACAGGATACATGTTGAACATATAGTTACGGGTTGAATTAAATGTAGTACAATGGATTAGGATATGTTTGATGGATATTGTTCCAGTTCTGCAATAAGGACATTGATTAGAAATATGAGGATTTATTAAATATTTTTTAGTTATTAATGTATGCCCTAGCCTAAGTCTTATAAATTTCTGACAGTCTTTGGTATTAATGTTTTCCTTAATGTTTATGTTAAGGTATTTTCTGATATTAATTCTTTCATGATTAATCTCTTTATACCAAAGTGATGTCTTAGACCACCATTGATCGGTTTCAAGTACTAGAGATTTTTTAATGTATTTAACTATATCAGATGTATTGAGATTTTCAGTTAAATAAACAGGTGCTTTGAGACTCAGTTTTGCCGATAAGTCAGCAAATTCATTACCGGTAATTAAACAATGTCCGGGTACCCAAACAATAACTATTCTGGGAAAATGTTTTATTAAAAGGTTCCTTATAAAGTTGGCATAGTAATTTTTACTGTGAGGATTACTTATAGCGTTGATAGAAGATAATGAGTCAGTGCATATCAAAGTCTTATTAGTCGAATTAATGGAGAGCTTAAGAGCTTCATATATGGCTATAATTTCGGCGGAAAAGATAGTTGTGTATTGAGGAAGAATAGAAGTTTTTATAACGGAGTTTTCAGTTGTTATGCTGTAAGAAATATTGCAAGAATCTTTAGAACCGTCAGTATATAAGAATGTGTAATTTCCGTAAGAACTTGCGGTTTCTTTAAAGAGTCTTCGATATATATCTGGTGGAGTATTAGCTTTTGGGTGTTTGCTTAAAGACGAGTTAAGAGAATTAACTGGAAAAAGCCATGGAGGTTTGGTAGGAGTAACAGAATTTACATTAGGCTTGGTCGGAAGATTATTATCACTGGCGTATTGAAATATTTTTTCCAGTATAGAATGAGTTCTGTTTGAGATAGATTCTATGGAAATATTAAGGTATATTTCGTAGATAGGGGAGTCAATGTTTTCAATGATATTGCGCAAGAGTTTGAAAGTGTTAAAATTTCTAGTAATTTCAAGCGGCTCTATATTAGCTTCGAACAGCATATTTTGAATCGGTGTGGTTCTAAACGCACCAAGAGAAATTCTTATAGCCGAATTAACTATTGTTATGATTTTTCGGAAAGATGATTTGGGAGACCATCCATATAAATAAATGCCATAGTGAATTTTCGATAAAAGTAAAGCTTTTACCGCCGATATAATAGAATATATATTGCAGTTAAATTTTTTGTTGGATATACATTTTATTATATTTAATCTATTTGTTAAATCACTTGCAATGTGTTTTATATGATCTTTCCAATTGTACTTCCTGTTAAATATTATTCCTAATATTTTCAGGGAATCTATGTTTTCTATATTGAAAGATCCAGTAGAGACTGTGGTATGACAAGTTCTTTTTTTACAAATGTGTAGGTGTTTAGATTTTGCCAAAGATAATTCAGCTCCCGAATAATTTGACCACTCGTTAATGAAATCAATCAATGGGTTAATGTTTATGGTCTGATGTTTCTTAGATGAAAGATTTTTTATTATATAGAAATCGTCGGCGTATGCACAGAATTTATATTCATTAAGAGAAAGAAAGTATTTGCTTAATTTATCGTAAGAAATTAAAAATAGAATAACTGAGAGGGGAGAGCCCTGAGGTATCCCGTTAAATAAAGGATATGTTTTAGAATAGCTGTTATTGACTTTTATTCTAATATGTCTATTAGTTAGGAAGTTTCTGATATATCTTAAAATATTAGGACCAATACCCCATTCCGTTAGCTGGTGAATAATGGTGTGTATTCCGATTTTATCGAAAGCCTTTGAAAAGTCTAACGATATGATTGAGGAATGTCTTTTATGTGATAGAGATTTAGTTATTAAATGATCGATGTAAAGGTGTGCGTCTGTTACAGATTTGCCTTTTCTAAATCCTAGTTGGTGAGAGCAAATGAGGTTTTTAGATGTGACAAACCACCACAGCCTGTTTGCTATTATTTTGTCTAAGAGCTTGGAAATACAAATATTTAATGAGATAGGCCTGTAAGATTGTATATGAGTTTTTATGGAGTTAGGTTTAAGTATAGGACAGATAGTGCTAATTTTATAGAAATGAGGAATAAAGTGGGAAAGAATTAAATTGTAAAGGCGAGTAAGTCTATGTTTAGTGTTATAGTTCAGATTTTTTATCATAGGATATGATATTCTGTCAATTCCAGGTGTTTTACCCTTCGTTTTGTTGAGGGCGAATTCTAGTTCCAATACAGTTATATTATCATCTATAGTTTTTGCCATGTCATCGGAGACGGAGGCGGGATCTGTATTAAAAATGGTACGTTTGTTGTATTTGAAAGTATCTGAAAAATTATTGTCATGTGATTGTGAAGACCAGAATTTGCCAAACTCATCAGCAATTAATTGACTGTTGGATAGAAATAAATTAGGGTCTGATGGAGATTCAATTGTGTGGATGGATTGAGGTAGATTTAGACCACAAAAAGTTTTGATGTTTTGCCAAATTTTTTTGGGTGGAGATTGGGGATTAATATCAGAAGTGAAATCAGAGATTGATTTGCTTTTAGATAACTTTAATTCTCTTTTAAATTTAGCGGCAGCTTTTTTATAATTAAGGATGTTAGTACTATTGATTGTTTTTTTCAAAATTTGCCAAAATTTGTTTTTCTCTTTTTTGAGTTCATTTAAGTGGTTATTCCACCATGGAACGTTTTTCTTAAAGGTTGGGTTAAATTGTGGAATAGAAAGGTTGGCACTCTGAATTATAATCTTTTGTAAGTGGGACGCTTCTTTGTTGATGTCATTGCTAAGAGGACGTTCTTTATCAAATTTTAATGTCAACTCATCAAATTTGATCCAGTCTGCTTTGTCGATAATAAATTTAGGTCTTGGTCTATAGAAGGTTGGTTGTGGAGGGATAAATAATTTAATTAATATAGGGAAGTGATCACTCCCATGTAGGTCATCAATAGTTTTCCATTCGGAGTGAATTTTTAGATAAGGTGAGCCGAAAGTTAAATCAATGTTTGTAAATGATTGTCGTGTGCTGAAATGCGTAGGAGAGCCGTCGTTAAAGACAACCATATTGGATTCGGTAATGTAGTCTGCTATAATCTCTCCTCTAGAATTATTTGTAGTAGATCCCCATAATGAATGCCAACTGTTAAAGTCGCCAGTGATGAGGATGTTGTTATCAAATTGATAATACATGTTTCTTATTGTTGATAAATTAAAAATTTTTGAAGGAGGAATATATGAATTTATTATGGTGAATTTCTTTTCAGCTTGAATAATTGCTCCAATGGAGTCGATATCATTAGGGAGGGAGATGGGGGTATATTGAATAGAATTATGAATAAGAAGAGCAACGCCACCATAGGAGTGGGTCGCTGAGTTAACAAAAATGCATTTGTAATTTAAAGGAATTGGTAAATAAGAGATGGAATGGAAATGTGTCTCTTGGAGAGAAATTATTTTCGGACTATATTTTTTTATAATTAATTGAAGTTGATTGTAGTTGTTAGTATATCCATTAATATTCCATTGAATTATATTGACTGCCATTATAAATAAATGTAGATTATAATAAATAGAATAACAAAAATATAGAAAGAATATATGTATATGTGAGTAGGTGTTAGTGTTCTAAAAAAAAACTAGGATATATGCCTCCAACTAGCAGCGCTGCAGAGTCCACTACAGTGATTTAAGCACTATTGTGTACCCCACAACGCCACAGAACTGGAGGCAGGATAATGCGAGGGAGAGAGTTCTACTCTCCCGCCATCTCACTATCTTTATCATTGATGTTGGCAGTATTGCGCTTTAAGTTAGGGTTAATTTTAGTATTATTATTATTTTTGTACTTGGATTTCAGTTGATTTTTCAATCTGGTAGAAATGTTCCGTGGAAGAATTTTTGTGGTCACACTGGTCCTTTGGGTGTTGGAGGAAGACGGAGAAGCTTGCTTGATATGGTCGATTATTATAGATTTTTGTTGAGACGATGTTGTAAGATTGACAAGTTGATCTTTATTATTGTGGATGACATTGGAGATAGAAGGTCCTGATGCTGGAGTATTAGTTGATAAATTTTGTGAAGTTGTTAGAAGGCAATCATCATAGGTTATTAGTTTAGCACGAGCGATTTTAGGAGTATTAGAGTTGGCAACGGTTGAGTATGTAGAATTGTGTTTTATATGTCTGCTATTGTAGATTTTTTCAGCATTTCTCATGGAAGTTTTTTGGAGAACTCTAATTGCTTGAATTTCTTTATTTTTCAAGAAAATTGGACAATTTTTATCTTTAGCTGAATGTTTCCAATCATCAATGTTGTTTTCCTTACAATTAATACAACAACAACTATTGGTACAGACTTCATTTGAGTCGGCATTGATATGACTAGGGTTGCCGCAATTGTAGCATATCTTATTGTTTTCACATGTTTTTTGTAGATGACCATAGTGAAGGCAGTTATTGCATCTAATTGGAGGTGGTATGTAAGGACGCAAATATATTTTTTGATAACCCATATAGATATACTCTGGAAGTTCAATAGCAGCAAATGTAAGAATCAACAGTCCAGTTTCTTTTAAAGTTTCATTTTCTTTACGTAAGATCTTTTTTACTTCTGTTACTTTTTGACTTGCCATATGTAGTTGGATTTCTTCTTCGGGAACACCAAATAAGTCGGGAGAGTAAATGACTCCTTTTGAGTAGTTCAAGGATTTGTGTTCAGAAACTTGAATCTTTATGTTAGTATTCATGGCTGTAAGTTTGATAAGTTTATTAGCCTGGAGGGAATTTTTTGTTTTTATCAATAATGTGCCATTGCGTAGTTTTTTGCATTCTGATACTTCTCCCCCACATGTTGAGTCGATGGCTCTTTTAATGAGGAATGGCGAGACATTAGAAAAATTATTTTCACTTTCTATACGATTTATTATGAGGTAGATAGGACCAGTAGAATTAATAGCAAGTTTATTGCTAAAATTATACTGTAATCCTACAGCGTTATAATTTTTCTTTTTTGCAACATCAGGAGGATCATTCATTTTGGATTATTTGTTGGGTTATTCTGGATTATTTCTTTTTTTTTTTTTTATTTGTTCACAAGTATCACAAAATTAAAGCGAAGTAGAGAACAAAAGAGATTTGAAATAACTGTATATCGTTTTTTTTTTTTTTAAGATGTAGGAAGCTGTTGTAAAATAAACACTTGTTTTCTTAACGAGTGATAAACAACGACTGAATAAAAAATTATATTCCTGTCTGTTCTGTAAACTGAATCCGAGTAAATTTCTCGTTTAAAAACGAATTCGCATAATTTTTCTCGCTTTAAAACCAAGTAAACAAATCTAGCCGAAAGTAAATCGAATGTAATTTTATTCTAATAAAGTAAATAATTATTTTCTGCGTTTTTTAATACAATTGCGACTTAATATAAATGCTATGGGCATTTAATATATTTTTTTTAATATATTTTTTTCATTTAAAATATGTTTATTTTTCTGAATTTTACGTTCAAATAAAAATTTGATTTGCAGAACATCAAATTTGGTTTTAAAAGTTCCTCGGTTTTGAAACCGATTCGATTTACAGAACAGACATTATTGTAATAATATCGTTTTCAGTAATAAAATATGATATAATAGCCCTTATACGGCAATACTGTTTTTGCTATAATATCATTTGGGTTCAGGAATAGTAAAATGTCTATAACATTTAAAGCCATTTTTCTCGAAACGTCTTTTTTTGATTATGCAGGTCTTGTACATAGTAAATGAGCGATATGTACATTATGACTTTTTGCAATTTTTGCAAATATCAAAAATACCATAGCAAGACTTTGTAGGGCGTGAACAGATGTTAAGGAATATGATATTATTTTTTCGCGATCACGAAAAAAGTTCCCACACTAAAGGCGATGAAGTTTTTTATAAATTTTACTTTTTCTATATGAGAAAAATAAATGTTTTTGCCAACATTTGTGCATTTCTATTACATTATCTTAAAGAGAATATTGTTTTTTAAATCCTTGTTATGGAAATTTTAACAAATTGCGATAATATTGCATGTTATAAAAATAATATACTTTTATATGAAAATTATTAAAATAATTTTTGAAAAATAACGAATGATAGCATTTTAGAAATTGCTATCGGTGCGGGAAGTTTTTTGACAGAATTTACTTAAAAAATAGCCCGATATTATCAGGACCAATACTGTCCTATAGTATTTTGCGCAAAAAAGTCATTACCCTAATGTACATATCTCCTTTTTTAAAACGGACCAGTTATCACTGTGCCTAAAGTATTTTGGAAATCATTAACATATCGTCACCTAAAACGCAAACGGCCCTATCTAACATTTTTAAAATTTTACATTTACTATTTGAACTGAAGATTTTGTTTCTATCAAAGCGATTTATTATATAGAAATAAACAAATTGTTTAATAATGAAACCTATCATTTGTTATAATAGTTGACAGTGGCGTATATAAAAGTGGATAAATTGGACTTTTTACCCTTAATATTTAAATGTTTTTGTAGATAGGTCCTTTTATTTTTTGTCAATAAAATCGATAATTATGGTTGGAGAAGTCCAATTTTTGGTGTGGACATTTGTTTTGATGCAATACATTAGAATCAACAATAAAATCGATTTTGAATTTTTGGTTAGTTAGGGCCGTTTGCGTTTCAGGTGAAAAAATAGTTTCCCCTTTTACATATGTGGCAACTATTTTTCTATTTGTTTACAGAATAGAAATTTCAAAAATACCAGTAAACTTCAAAAAAATTTTTGAGAGAGAGAAATGACACTACCATAGAAAATGTATACATAGAACTGAAACTAAGTATGACAAAACCAAAGTCTGCTGTCAAAAATCTATGTCGTGAGAATGTATTAGTTGAAAAATATATAACACAACTAACACAAAATCTATCGCTTAAAAAGTTTTAATATTTTTGTTTAATATTATATTTTGATTTTTTATAAAATAATGGTTTGATTTAGCCATTTTTGTTCAATTTCAGTTGACCAATGTAAAATAGATCTTCATTTAAAATTATTCTCAATTTTACATTAACTCTTTGTGTTTCCTGGGTTGGACCAATATTGACAATTGAAAAATTCTTTACTTTTCAGAAAATGTTTTTAATATTTTTGTGGCCAAAACAGAACTTTTAGCAATGTTTATTGCAGCAGCAGGGGCTGTTGTGCCAAAGGAATTGTCCTAATGCTTAAATTAACGCTAAATATAAACAATTATTGTTAATTTCAATGCAGCTCACATGTAGTCTAAATATACTCTATACCACACTAATAGGAACGGCAATTTGATTATGTCTAGAAGTTAGTAACACCTGCGTCGCTGTAATGATGTTATCAGTCCATAAAAATAGCGTATTGAATTTTTTTGGAAGCGGTCATGGGTAGTATAAATACAAGGCTTCCAGGCCACTTTTTAATGATAGATATTTGGGAGGATTTTTTTTGGGAAGAAAGTTTTTTGTGGAAAATTGCAAGTTGATTTTTATGGAACGAATATTTTTTGTGGGAATTTGCAAGATGATATTTTTTAAGAATTTGTGTGAGGAAATTTACTTGGTTTGTTTTCCTCTCTTGAGAGTAAGTTGTTTTTATGAAATTGAGAATCAATGAATTTATTTTTGAAAAATTTTCTTGAAGAGGAAAAATTATTTTGCATTTACTGAATATTATTTTGTATAATAATATGTATGTAATTATGTTAAAAGTACATATAAATAATTTAATTTTTTTTATACCCACCATCAAAAAAGATGGGGGGTATATTGATTTTATCATTCCGTTTGAAACACATAGAAATATTGGTCATAGACCCACAAAAGTATATATATTCTGGGTCCTTATTAAATTCTAAGACAATCTAGCCATGTCTGTCTGTCCGTCCGTCCGCCTGTCTGTCTGTTGAAAGCACGTTAGAGTCCGAACGGAACAAGATAGAGGATTGAAATTTTCCACAAATATTCTCTATAGGTAAGGTTTGTTTGGTATTGAAAATGCGCAATATCGGTCCACGTTTTCGGATAGCCCCCATACAAGTGGACCCCCGAAAAACAGCTTTAATGGGTATATCTGTTTCAAAAGTACGAGTACAGCGATGAAATTCGACATAAATAAGTTTCATATGATATGAAATCTTCCTACCAAATTTTATGAGGATCGGTCCATAATTGACCCTACCCCCATATAAGGCACCCTTCAGAAAATTAGTTTAACGCTCATTACTGGCTTAAAAATACTAGTATGCAGTGAAATTTGATATAAGTAAGTCTATTATGATCCAAAACCTGTCTACCAAATTTTATGTTGATCGGTCCATAATTGACCCTACCCCCCATATAAGGTCCCCTTCAGAATATGGCTTTAATGCTCATTACTATTACTGGCATAAAAATACGAGTATAGTGATGAAATTCGACACACATAAGTTTCAATGAAGCCAAAATCTCTCTATCAAACTTTATGTGGATCGGTCCATAATTCACTCTGTTCGTGCGTGAAATAAAACGAAAAGTGTTTTTAAGATATTTTTTAAATAAAAATATTTCTTTATTAAATATTACCTTGTGTTTGTGGATGATTTATACGAAACGTATATGTTAGCGATTAGGAAGCTAATGCTATATTTTATTGGCAAAAAGTGGCGAACAATATTTAAGCAGATACTGTTAGCGGTTTTATTCGTTAGAATTTAGAAAAATATCCCCACCCAAGGGTGTAAAAAAGGGAGTGTACTAAATTCTAACAAGTATCAAATAATCAAAAAACGTAAATACACGTACAAAAAAAAAAACGAACTTAAACATTGCCGTCCACCTTGCAACAACATAGGACGTTGCAACCATAATATAAACTTAAGAGGTAAAATCTAATAAAGAATAAAGAGCTTAAAGTAATAGTTTTTTTCATTTATTTAATTAATATTTAATTTTTTTTCAAAAAACAAATTGGTCATAGGACCAAAAAACCCCAGACCAGCTGGTAAAAGATGTTCCCATAGAACAAAGTCTATGGGATGTAGTTTTACGCAGACTACATACTGGTATCATGGCAGAATGGTTTTAAATCAGACCATGAACTGGGCCTCTTAAGGAGAGGCTTGGCCAGAAATGACCCAACCAAAAATGGTGTATTGAGCCATTGGAAGTCCCGGGTTCGAATATATTTTTCCTTTTAAAACCTGTGGACCAATGACAAGTGCGACTTTGTCAGAGACATTAAATCAAGGAACTGCCAATTGCAGGCCCGCAAAATGGATCTTAACCGAGTCCGGTACAGATTGCAACGGTTTTAATGGCCTGCATTTTTTTCACTTTAACTGTAAAAGTTATTTGTTGCATCGTGTCGTGTTGTGAGCAAATGTTCACTCGACACATTTTGTCTGCACCAACAATGGTCACGGGCAGTTTTAGATTTGCAACTAACGAGGAGCAAATATAGCTCGTACTGCAGCAGAGGTCTAAAGCTGCTCGTACCCGAATGCTCTTTTTTGAGCCAAGCAACAAAACGGTGGTTGTTGGTGAGAGTGTCACGACATGAAGCAATGGCAACGTCGAAGATACAACGGGGGCGTCTGGTATGGAAACGTGATTTCGCGCGCGTTCTTCAGGTTTAGCGGCGACGTGATTTCCGAGTGGAGCATAGAATTGTGCTTCGCTTTACATTTCATACTGCGGCCTTCACTCGTACAATCACGAGAGATATGTTCCGCTGATAGGCACCGGGAGCAACAATGATGTAATAACACCATCCTAATTCTGCTCTCGAAAGACATGTTTTGAAATTTTCGACAACCCGATAGTCGATGACGTCGTTTACAAATACGGCCATTTTGCTTACTGCTTATTGAAATCGCAACCGGATCTGAACCTGAGGCGGGATCAGGATTTGGCAAAAGATCGGCTGCTGGAGCCGGTACTGCCATAGGGGCAGCCAGTTGCTCAGGCGATCCATAGTGCTAGGAAACAATCAAGGTTAACAAATATTCTTTTAAAATGATTCACT